AGAAAGATGAGGCTTTCTGTTCCCACAAAGATTTTTAAAGCCTCAGAAACCCTATACAGGTTCGCTATGAGTCAGAACTGACTTCAGGGCACTCTAACAGCGTAGTGGTTACCAATTGGGCTGCAAACCTCAAGGTCAGCAGATCGAAACTAGCAACCGTTCTGCAGGAGAAAGATGAGGCGTTCTGCTCCCGTAAAGATTTATAGCCTCGGAAACCCTGTACAGGGTCGCTATGAGTCAGAACCGACTCCATGGCACACAGCCATCAACAACAACATTGAACAGTACTAGGAGCCTTGATGGCCCAGTGGATTAAAAATTGGACTACTAACTGCAAGACTGTGTTTACTGTATCCTCATTATTTCCCAGTAGACCTTCTGCAGAAGAAAGATGTCTGTGCACGTAAAGATTTACGGTTTCAGAAACCGTGTGGAGAGCAGGTCTACCCTGCTCGATTCAGAATTGACTCCTTAGCAGTGGGCCATGGAACAATCAGAGAACTGAAGGATTCTGCTGGTCCAGTTTCTTGGACTAGTTCAGAGAGCAAGGTCAATACTAACTAAAAACTGGGCTGTCACTATTATCTTCACCTTCCAAGTTCTTAGAGACACTTGTCTCAATAGTAGTGAGGAACTAGAGGGACATATTAGATCCTCAAATTTCCAACGGTTCAACCACTTTCATACAAATGGAGATTGTCATCTAGCAGTGACAGTGGTAGTAGAGATGGTGTTGTGCATGTGTGTGTGTGTACTGCATCAGTTCAAAGTGTCAATTGGTTATGAAAGCACCAATTCAGTGAAGCAAGCTTTATGTGTAGGAGGACTGTCAGCACACAATAAAAAGTATTATAAAATGTCATTCATTTAAAGTAAATGGCACAAACAAGGCAGACATAACCATATAAGAGAACAGAGAACCCAGAGACAAACGATGAGAATTTAGTGCACAATATAATGAGATGACCAAAACAGTGGGCTCCCACATAGCAACCATGATGACTGAAACGCTCTGAGTAACATTTCATACTGTTATACTTGATGTTGCTATAAACCCAAGTCAACTTAATGGGAGCAACCATAGCAAGCAGTTTTATCTACTAGATCTTTTATGAACAAGATCAGAGCTGGGTAAACATTTTCAGTAAATGGCCAGGGACTTAGAAGGTCCTGGATAAAGTAGGGGAAAAAATGTACAGCAAAACTCAAAATCATGAAAAAGACCAGGCTTAGCTGGTGTGGCACTGTGGGTTAATGCACTGGACTGCAGGGTCGTTTTGATCCACAAGGTCAGCCGTTCAAGTTCACCATCCGCTTCTCAGAAACACTACACAGGGTCGCTGTGAGTCAGAACCAATTTGACGTCACATAACAACAACAACAACAACCAGTCAGATAAAAACTGGTGGATCTCTTGAGACTATGACTCTAAGTCACCTTTCAGACCTGGAACTAAACTTGCCTCCACAGGTGTTCTCAGCCAATGTTGTAACTCTTAGTGTCTCTGTATAGGAAGCCCTGGTGTGGTGCTGTGGGTTAGTGCACTGGAACTAAAAGTCAGTTTGAACTGCAAGGTTGGTGGTTCAAGTTCACCAGCTGCTCCTCAGAAACCCTATACAGGGTCTCTATGAGTCGAAACCAACTCAATGGCGCTTAGCAACAATAAGGGTTTTCCAGGCTGTAAATCTTCACATGAGCAGACAGCTCCTTCTTTCTCCTGCAGAGCTGCTGGTGGGGTTAAACTGTTGGCCTTGTGGTAAGCAGTCTAGTGCTTAGCCTACAGTTCCACCAGCATCCCCAAACAATAAACTGGACTATCAGGTGAATAATAACTCTAGGGAAGAAGGCACACCTTCGAATAATCAACTATTTGAGATCAAAAGGGCAGAAGTGTTAAGAAAGAAAAAGAGCAGAAACAGGAAACAAGGGAAGAAGAAGGCTAAATAATGTTTCATTATGGTGGTTGCAGTCAGTGTGATGAAGCAAAATGTGAACTGTTGAATGGAAAAATGATCTGCTCTGTAAACTTTTCACCTATTTCATAAGAAATGAAAAAAAAAAAAAAAAAAGATACACTCTACACTAATCTTGCCTCATTAACATTACAATGACTACCCATTCTCAAATGAAGTCATAACCACAGTCATAGACGCTAGGAATTACAACACATATTTTTGGGAGATACAATTTCATCCCTAACAACCAGATAGTAAATATTTTAGGCTTTATGGGCCATATGGTCTCTGTTATAATTACTAAACTCTGCTGTTGGAGCCATAAACAATATAAACTCAATGAGTACGGCTGCCTTCCATTAAAAGTTGACTTATGGACACTGACATTTCAATTTCATACAATTTTTGCCTGTCAAAATATAATGATGTTATTTTTTTTGATAGTTTTTCAACCATTTAAAAATCTGAAGCCATTCTTAGCTCAGGGAGTTTATATAAACATGCAGCCATCTAGATTTGGCCCAAGGATGTAGATTGGCACTCCGCTAAGGAGAATAAAGATCTCCTATTAATATATTTGTTTCTTCTCATATATCTGTAGATTCTGTTTTCCCATTCCTAATTCTGTGTGGTTTGAGGCATAAATATTTAAAACTACTATGTTGTTGTTGTTAAGTGCCTTAGAGTCGGTTCCGACCCATAGCGACCCTGTACAGGGTTTCCGAGGGTGTAAATCCTTACGGGAGTAGAAAGCCTCATCTTTCTCCCACGGAGCGGCTGGTAGTTTCGAACCGCTGGCCTTAAGGTTCGCAGCCCGATTCGTAACCACTACACTACCAGAGCTCCTTATAGCACTAATTAAAAAATGAAGACATGAAATTAGGGCTATATAATTGCTGATGTCAGATATATCTTAACTGAAAGCAGAGAATACCAGAAAGATGTTTACCTGTGCTTTATATTGACTACCAAAAGGCTTTCAGTTGTGTGGATCTTGACATGCTATAGACAACATTGTGAAGAATGAGTATTCTGGAACACTTAATTGTGCTCGTGAGGAATCTGTACGTAGATCACAAGGCAGTTGTTTGAACAGAACAAGGTAACACTGAAGAGTTTAATATTAGGATAGGTGTGTGCCAGCGTCTTATTCTTTCAGCATACTTATTCAGTCTGTATGCTGAGCACATAATCTAAGAAGCTGGATTATGTGACAGTTGCTATGCATTGGAAGTGACTCATCAGCACCTAACAACAATTACAACCATTAATACAAAACTTTTTATAAGCAATGAATAACAAGAGGAAAGCAATCACTAATATTGATAAATTAAAAGAAACTTTAGAGTATTTTTGTTCAAATCCAAGCAAATAAATTTAAGAACTTTAAAATATAGGAAAATGTAATCTAACTCAATGCAATGTACTATTTTCACAAATTCTTAGTGAAGTCCTTTAGAACAGAGAACTTACAAAACATTGATCTAATGATGTGGTCAACAGATGTTTATTATTGTTGTTAGGTGCTGTTGAGTCAAAACAACCGTTTGCACAACAGAATGAAATACTGCCGGGTCCTGCACAAGCCTCACAATTATTGTCTTGTTTGAAACCCAGTATATTGTGTATTACTCACAGAATAAATAGGACAGGGATGAGTAGAACAGCAACCATTCTCATCAGCAAAGGTCAAAATCTAACCGTGCTCCACTTAGCACCATGGGGAAGTAATTGCTGGAGCCCCTCTCTTCTTGGATCAATACAAGGGGGCTTCAAAAAATTCCAGTAAAAATTTCATTATCTTTTCATTCTATTTCTCCATGCATTTTTTTTGTTAAATGTTTTATTGTGAATTGTGTGCTAGTTTACATGGGAGAACATTAGCTTTACATTTATCCTATCATATATTATTTCATTGCCATGGTTACAATCCCCTCCATGCATCATCAACAAAAGGGTATACTCTGCAAGCCTGCCCCCTGGTCATCAGCACATAGCCCCTCTCCCTCTTTGGGTCTAGAGTCCCCAGCTGTTTCATCTCTCCATGTCATCGTCTCTGCCTCCATCTCTGGCATCACTGTTTCTCTGGGTAGGGTCCCGCTCTCCACTCTTCTCCCTTGATGGTCCCAGGGACCTCTGCTCCTGTACTGTAAAGTCAACCACTCCCCTACTTTTGCTACAAAATGTTTACCTTTGCATTTCCAGCCCTCACAGTCAGTCCTAAAACCAGTTATTCACTGTTGTGCCACATGAGTGCAACCCCCATCTCCTTTCATCAGCCCCGCCCAGACAGATTGGATACTATTCAATGGAGACTCTATCTTCTTCCACGCACTCTGGATCTAGGTTCCCTCTTGAAAGCTTGTAAGCCAGTCACTTGTTGCCTTTGTAGCCCCCCATTTTGGGTAGCCAATGTCCAAGTTGTCCTTCCCTGTCTACCCTGTGTATCTAGGGGATGGGAATGATCCTTGCTGTAAAGATTTGTTCCCTCTTTTGAGCTACTGCATCTATAGGTGTAGGTCAAGTTCATCAAATTGTATCAGATTACTCTTTTTTTCTCTTCTTTCTTCTTCTAGTTGAACTCTGATCATCCAGTCATTGAAGCAAGGTCAAGTGGGTATTCTTGAGCATATGCCCTTTCTTCTTATCTGCTGGACACTTTACTCTCCACTCTAGTCTTCTGTGGCTATGTCACTGACTCTGGGCCCAGGAGACCCAGGTTTTGCCACATTGCTGGCCAACCTGGTCTCCACCTGGGTCACAGGAGTCTATTGAACATTCTAGGGTTTAGCTTGCAGCTTCATTGCTGTTTTTCCCTCACTTCCCTTTATCGGTGACCAATGTGGTCACCATTCAGAGCGCATGTCTGCTCGTGTACTGCCATTGAGTCTTAGTCTTGGAAGGGGGTCTCCATGAATTTTTGAGGTCCCATAATATATATAATATTGAATTCCTGATGTGGTGCTGCAGGACAATGAACTGGACAGAAAGGTCAGTTAGAACTGCCAGTTTGGTGGTTTCAAACCCACCAGCCACTCCTCTGAAACCCTAGACAGAGTTGTTATGAGTTGGAACCAACTTGATAGCGCTTAACAACAGCAACATATACTAACAGGACAGCCATGTCTACATGTCAGACAACATGTAGAGAGAGTACATAGGGGGAAAGGGTAGTAAAAGGAGTAATGAAAGGTTAAAAGAGGGTAATAAAAATAGGATGATGTCCTGCTGCTAATGGACTAATGATGTCTTTTGGCTAATGGACAGCACCTTTTTGTAGGATGAATGACCATCTTCTGATAGCTATTCTAGACGAGTGCTCTGTGCTCCTTCCCCTTTTATCCCACTAACAAGTGCTTGGGCTTTCTTCAGAAGGCTATCTTCTCCTCTTATGAAACATGCTTTATTCTGTGTCCATTAGTAGCTACCATGTCCATTAGTAGCTCTGAAGATGGTGAGAGAGATTACTGAACACCTGTACACCCAACACCACTATTTACTCTAGGAGATATTAGAAGACATTAGACAAATCTAGTCCTGGTGTGGTGCTGTGGTCTAATGCGTCAGACTGCAAAGTCATTTGAACTGCAAGGTCTGTGGTTCAAGCTC